CCCCAAAACCCCAAAACCCCAAAACCCCTTTATGCAAAAATCAGACAATTGTTGTATTTTGAAAAATGAAAAAGAATTTGCATACAGGTGATAATTAAAACATTATTCTTTAACCAACTATTTCTTGCTATTTATAGGTCCTAATTTAAAGTTTTCTGAATAATTTAAAACAAAAGATATCTCAAGATTTATCATTAAAATGTCAGAAGAGGTAAAATTAGATGCAAATCTATATTCAAGATAAATTGGAACATTTGGCATGGAAACTATGCAAAAAATATCAAAATTAAATGTTCTTATTGTTGGTTGTAGAGGTTTAGGAGTAGAAATAGCAAAGAATCTCATTTTATCAGGATCAGCCTCAGTGACAATTTATGATCCTAATCTAGTCCAATGGGGAGACTTATCAAGTAATTTTTACTGTAAAGAAGAGCATATTGGTAAGGCAACTAGAGTGGATGCCTCTATTCAAAAATTGAAAGATTTGAACCTATATGTCAAGGTTTAATCTATTCAAACACTTACACTTGAAGATCATAGTAGCTACAATGTAGTTGCTTACACTGAAACTTTCGAAAATATCGACAATGTTATTGAAGCTAATGAATTTTGCAGAGCTAAGGGAATTGGCTTTATCTACAGTGGTATCTTTGGCCCCAGCGGATTCACATTCTTGGACTATGGAGATGAATTCACAATTAATGATATTGATGGAGAAGAAACTAAATATTTCATTGTAGCTAATGCAACTCAAACAAACCCAATAATTATAACAGTTCATGAAGACAAAATACACAATTTTTAAGATGGAGATCATGTTTAATTCAGAGAAGTTGAAGGTATGACAGAACTAAACAGTCTCCCACCTACAGAGTTAAAAATAATTAATAGCATTAAATTCGAGCTAAAAGTAGATGGCACTGGTTTTCAGCCTTATCTAAGACAAGGACTTGTGGAAAATGTAAAGCTCCCAAAGTAGGTTAAATATTTTAGCCTAAAACAATCTCTACATAACCCAGATTTCAAAAATTTCGGCAGATCAGATTAACTTCACTTAGCTTTTGTTGGCATCTTAGAGTTTTAAAAAGCTAACGGCAGACTACCTCAGAACAATGAAGATGATTTCTAAAAAGTATTTGCATTTGTTAAAAGAATCAATGAGGATAATAAGACTACAGATGGCATTACTCTAGAAGAAATTGAGGAGAAAATAGTGAGAAATGTTGCTAATTATGCTCTAGCTAGTCTTTCACCAATGGCATCATTCTTTGGAGGTATCTTAGCTTAAGAAGTCATTAAGTATACTGGTAAATATTCTCCTCTTAAACAATGGCTTCATTACGATATCTTTGATACTCTTCCAAATGAAGAAGTTGATAGAACTCCAATGAACTGCAGGTATGATGATTAAATCCTTGTTTATGGTAGAGAAATTTAAGAAAAACTTAAGAAAGTAAAAACCTTTATAGTTGGAACTGGTGCTCTCGGATGTGAGTATATTAAAGCTTTTGCATTAATGGGCATTGGTTGCTCAGAGGAAGGAGGAGTTGCTGTTACTGACAACGACAATATTGAGGTATCAAACTTGAACACACAATTTTTATTTAAGAAAAATAACGTTGGTGAATCAAAATCTAAAATTGCCATCTAAGTAGCGAATGAAATGAACTATAATATGAATATAAAAGGTTATCAAACCAGAGTTGATCAAGATTCTGAAGCCTTATTTAATGATTAGTTTTGGGAGGGACTTGATTTTGTAGTAAATGCTGTCAATAATATCAAGGCAAGACTTTATGTTGATTCTAAATGTGTTTGGTATGAAAAACCTCTCTTTGATTCAGGTACTCTTGGAACTAAAGCTAGTTCTCAGGTAATTATCCCATTTAAGACCTAATGCTATTCTGATTCTTAAGATCCACCTGAAGAAGCATTTCCAATGATTAAATTCAGAAGTTTCCCAGTTTACAATGAGCAATGTATATCTTGGGGCATTGATCTCTTTACTAAACTTTTTTATGAAACTCCAATTAATGTTTCTAACTACATAGACAATCCATTAGATTTCATGGATAAACTTAAAAAGTAAACCACTGTTTAAGATGCAAGATTAGTAATTGAGAAAATTAAAGAGTTTATTGACTTGAAAAAATCATTTAATTTCCATAGATGCATTGATTTTGCGAGAAATTAGTTTGAATTTTTGTTCAATCATCAAATAGCCAACCTCCTCTATAATTTCCCTCTAGATCATAAAGATAATTATGGTCAATTATTCTGGTCAGGACCAAAGAGAGCTCCTTCACCTATATTATACAATCCATTAGATGAGCTTCATGTTCATTTTGTAACAGCTTGTGCAAATTTGGTTGCCTATAATCTAGGAATTCCCCAAAATATAGATTCTTCTATTATTGCTCATGAAGCAGCCTTAGTTAATGTTCAACAATTCATGCCAAAAACTTTAAAAGTTTAATCTAAAGAAGGAAAGTAGAATAATTAAGAGAGGATTGGTCATGTAAATTTAGTATCTGAAGATGAACATTTCATTGCTGAGTTGTTATAACAATTAAAATTAGAGGATGTTGGACTCTAATCTATAGACTTCATTGCTACCGAATATTAAAAGGATGATGATTCTAACTTTCATATTGATTTTATCCATGCAGCTGCTAACCTAAGAGCTAGAAATTATAAGATCCCAGAGTGTACTCAGCAAAAGACCAAGATGATTGCAGGAAAGATTATTCCAGCTAATGTATGTACAACTGCACTGATAACAGGTTGTGTTTCCTCTGAAATCTATAAGTTAGTTCAGGGTTTTTAGGAGCTTGAAAGCTATAAAAATAGTTTCATAAACTTAGCTCTTCCCTTATTCGTTTTCTCTGAACCTTCTTAGGCAAAACAGAATTTAACAAAGGAATACGACCAGATTCTTATGGGTAAGGTTATGGCAATTCCTGAAGGTTTCTCTAATTATGATAAGATTATTGTTAATGGTCCAATGACCTTTGACCAGTTCTTTGAGGAAATGAAGACCAAATTTAACGTTGAGGTCGCTATTGTTATCTCTGGATAAACTATTCTCTATAATATTTATCTTCCAGGTAATAAACACGCAATAAGACGATCAAGATTAATAGAAGATGTTTATAAAGAATTCATTACGAAACCCATTCCTGAAGGAAGAAGTTATTTATCTCTAGAATTAGGTGGAGAAGTTATTGGTGAGGAGTGTGATTTTAATATGCCACCCATAAAGTATTATTTCTAATGAAAAGATTTATAAATAAGTAAGAGAAATTTTAATTTAATTTTTTTTAATTTTAGTTTAATTTTAGTTTTTTGGGGTTTTGGGGTTTTGGGG